TTTTTTTGTCGTTGGCTATGCCAACGGCCACGTCAGTGGTCACATCATGTGGCCCCCCCTAACACGATCTGTCGAATTACAGACCCAAGTTCGACCCCATCTGAGACCAAAAAAGGAAAAATTTTGGCCTTTTCTCGATTTATGTGTGTCATCCTTGCGCAGGGGCCACTTTGATCTGGGCGCGGCAGATCTCAGCCGCGCGATCTTGAGGATCGCGCAACCGAGATTGGCCGCGCCCAACTGCCTTGGGCTGCTCCAAAAGGAGCTAGCCTGGTAAGATGCTTGCAACCAAGCTTGATCCCGGTACCAGATAGGTAAGAGTCCTCTGCGATAACCTACTGGGCTAACTCCTATTATGATAATGACAGGAGCAGCTCGCCTATGTGAAGAGCTCGCCCAGTCAGGTTTCCCCCATACCATGGTTTCCACATCTCTTAGGGCCGACTGACCCATGTCCAAGCGCTGTTTACATGGAACCCTTCTCCACTTCGGTCTTCAAAGTTCTCATTTGAATATTTGCTACTACCACCAAGATCTGCAGGCTTTGCCTGCCCGCTTCTTCCCTATGGATGGCTGCCCATCCACCACTCCGCGCCCGCCCATCGGGTAGGCCTCGGTATAGGCCTGCTGGCCTCACCCTGGCTCGAGGTTAACCCGGCGGCCCAGAAAAAAGAAAAAAAACCTTGCTATTCTTCTCGCACCGTAGCCCTATACCCTGCGCATCCCTCCTTTTTAGCCTACTTAGGCCCTGAATCGCGCGGCTGTTAAGCCGCGCGACATCTTTTAGGTAGAATAAGTCTAGTCTCAGACTTTCTATGACCGCGCACCCCTGCGGCCATGTCGAGACCCGCGGACGACAGGCCATACCGTCGACTCCCGCTGTCTCGAACGGACGCCGTTGTCGTCACATGTCAACGACGTCATACATCAACGACGTCTGGCTTTAGGTTTCTCAATTATAAGGTTGGTCTGAACAAATTTTGGCAACGTCAATCTCAACCAGTTCCTCAATCCCATAAAAAAATCGGACAGCGACTGACCTTGACAAACTCGGGCAGAAACCCTTACAGGGGTTTCTGTCCCGACAGCCTTCCCCGTCCCCATTAAGCGATGTCCCCGTCGCTTATCATAAACAATACAAGGGGAAGTCTTTATAAGATCTCACCAATTATATCACATAATCACATTATATCTGAAATTAATCCAGATCTTACATACTCACTTATAAAAAGTGACGTTTCCGTCGTTCATCTTTCTTTCCTTTTATAATCACCTGGATACTCTTCTATGAAATACTCCATGCATATTTCATTACTTACAATACGTTAAACATTGACTTTATTTTAATCGTAACCGAGACTTTCTTTCAAGCCTTAAACAGATAGAGGCTTACTTTCAAGCCTTCAACATACAGAGGCTTACTTTCAAGCCTTTTGATTCTTTCGAACCTTCCTTCGAAGGCACTTTCATTCAGTCACGAGTTGGAATGGGGCCAGAATTAACCTTCGGCGGGTCTTTCCCCGGAACCTGGAATCCACCGTTGGCTTTATCCAACATGGGGAGTTACAAGAACATTTCAGAAGAATGATCCCAACGTCATCTCACTGGCGGCCACTCATTCTCTCTTCTTGTCTCTCATAGATGGGTCAGGCTTATCCCCCTGTTGGGACTCTCTTCAGGCTATAACCCCCTGTCTAGGTCTCGTCAGGCTTAACCCCCTGCGGGTCTTTCGTCACACAGCACATACTGCCAGGAATTTAACCTGGGCCTCTCGTGTCCATGGGGGTGCATTCCTAACACCTCAGCATGTCTCTCGCTGTCAGGAGCTTAACCTGGGCGCCCCACGAAACACAAGGGTACTCACACTATACTACAACATGTGCCTGCACCATCCCAGAGAGAAATCACCCTTTCCAAAAGTCATTGTCCAGTCCGGCTAATTCCCACTCCAACTTAATTGTCATGCACGATTTATCTCCTACATGTATTGTGAATGCGTCAAGGAGTAGTGTAATCCATAGAGGATAACATCTCGACGTCAAGCCCCGCTTTAGACTCGAGCCTCACCACTTTCCCTCCGATTCCAGTGTCATACATCTGTTAGTACCGTACCCGCAAGGTTGAACTACCCCTCCCTTATGACCCAAGCTGATCAGACCCGACCATAAAGTCGAGGCGACCCCATTCACCACAAATGAAAAGATGATTAATCTTTCCTTCATGGCGAGCGGTAATCGCCACCCTCACAAACAAGGTCCCAACAAACATATTACCACCTTCCTCCCTTTCGACGATAGTGCAGTCATCCTCCTTGAAAGGAAGGATAACAACATCCCACTATGGACCAGGAACACAGTTCCGGCGCAGGCCTCACTACCGCCTACGGGGCTCACAACATTAGGATTCTTCATTGCATGACAATTAACACAGAGTCAAGTCATAAGGTAAGATAAATAATTGAATCACAAGCCTGACGAATAAACGTATGTTAATCCAGTCAGGCATATAACTCAAGTACAAATCATCCCCTTAGACTCGCACTAACGAATTCTTACATTCATAATCACATACACGGAGTCCCATAAGAATTCCATGTTTTTTTTTTTTTTCAGTCCTTCTCATATATGATGAACACTTCAACAATATAAGTATCCATCAGCTATTTCACAATACACTTCTTGCAATGAACAT